GTGCACGAAGGACGGCGACTGCTTCGGTGCGCTGACAACGGCGGTGCGCGGCTGCAAGTGCGAGTGCGCCAGTGGAGGGCACGGCGATGTGTGCGCCCCGGCGCCTGTACCTGCCGGCCCGGTGCCTGTGCCATCCCCGCCGTCCCCGCCGCCCCCACCGGCGTTTGGCGAGTGCGTCAGCGACGTGGTGTACCCCGAGGTGACGCAGGCGGTGGGCAGCGGGCTGTCGTGGCTGTGCTACCGCAACGTGACCTTCAGCGGGGGCGGCATGATACTCACGGTGCTCACTGGGGCGATGACGGGCGAGGTGGCGAGCGTCACATTCGATGGGTGCACGTGGAGGGACGGCGCCGTGCTGGTGCTGGCGGGCAGCGCGGACTCCGCCGTGGGTTCGCTGAACATCGCCGTCACCGGCAACACGTTCGACGACGCGCTGCTGAGCCCAGAAGGCGCGTTTCCCCCGCACACAAACATCACCATCAGCGGGAACCAATTTACGCTAACGCGGACGGTCTCGCCGCCGGGTTTGACCCTTAGGAGGGCGTCGTGTGTCGCGATGAATAAGCTGGGGATCGCCAACCACTCCGCGGTGGTGCTCAGCGGCAACACCTTTCGGCCGGTGGCGGCGTACTTGAGCGTCATCTACATTGTCGACTCCCCGCTGAGGGTGTCGTGGGACTCCCTGTTTGCCGTGGTGCGCAACACGTTTGCTACGGGCGGCGCTTATAGTGCCATGATAAATCTTGGGGGGTCGTGGAAAACCGCGCCGCTGGAGGTGCTGAACAACTCTGCCGTGGTGGTGCAGGGCAACGTTGTGTCGAAGACGGCGCAGTACTTCATGTTCCTCCAGTGGCCGTTGCGTGTGGAGTCCCGGTCGGCGGTCGTGCTTGAGGGCAACGTAATGCAGGGAGCCACAGCTGTTTTCGCTGTGGACTCAAACGCCTACGTGTATTACGACTCCTGGGTGCAGGTGAGCGGCAACCTTTACCGCGGGTCCCCTGGGCCTGCCCTCGCCTCCCTGGGCGGGGAGCTGAACCTCCGCAACTCCGCGCTGTCTGTGTCCCGCAACGAGTTCCGCTCCGGCACAAACACGCCGACGGCGCTGCGGATAGACGAAGTGCCCAGCGACCTCTCAAACGGATCGATTGTGGCCGCCTGCAACACTGTGAACGGCGAGAAGGAGGCGGTCTACATCGTCCCGTCGGAGTACAACGCGACGATCGTGAGCTGCAGCGACCCATGCACCCTCGCGGCATCGTGCTTCCCCGCGTATGCGACGACGGTTTCGGGTGCCAGCTGCGCCTGCACGTGCGCCGAGGGCGGCCACGGCGACGCGTGCCTGCCGGTGCAGCTGCCGCGCGTGGACGGCGGCAACCGCACCGTGGCGTGCCCGCCGCTTGCTGTGGCCTCCGCCGAGGTGCCGTGTGTGCATGGCGGCACGGTGAGTGCGTTGCCGGCCCCCACCCCCGGCGTCTCCGGGCTCTGCTTTGTGGACGTGCACTTCACCTCCCCGCTCGCCATTGACCTGGGCGAGTTCA